GAGTGTACACAGGTCGCCTGGGGAAATTGTTGAAAGTAGAGATTTCCACCCACACACGCCTCCCAGCTGCTCGGGGCTGGATTCAGGGAGTCTGGAATTGCATCTGGAAACAAACCCTGGGCTAGTCGTCATGCAGCATCCCGGTCTACAGAGGAAGGCCACGGGCACGTACAAGCTCTTGTCATGTAACGAGATTGTGTTAAAATAGTTGAGATATCAGGTCGTGGAGGGGGCTGGGTAGCAGGGGTCTGCCTGGGCACCCCGTTCTCTCCTTCTACCAGAGTAAGATGTCCCGCTGGCTCTGCTTGGGCCCCGCCTCTGTTTTCTCAGGAGCCAGCAACCAAAAAGTCTGTTGAAGTCTCAGCCTCAAAACCACAGCCGTGCGTTCTCCCCAGCCCAGTGAGGACTCAGCCTCATGGTGTTCTTTTTGTCCCCCCAGCAATGTTTTCAACTGGATTCCCAGATGGAGGCAGAGAGAAGTGTCTCAAAGGTAATGGAGGACTCTTTGGAATCAAGGTGGTTCCTTCTAGAAAGATCTAGAACAGAAATAGAAACACAAGTATGTATTGAATTGGAGGTCATTATAACCAAAGAGACGCTCGGTTCCCAGTGTGACTCCTGGGGTCCATTCTCTACCATGTTTTCTCAAACCCTGAGAAAGGACAAAGGGGGCTGGCCCCGTGGCCGAGTGGTTAAGTTCACGTGCTCCGCTTTGGCGGCCCAGGGTTTTGCTGGTTTGGATCCTGGGTGCGGACATGGCACCGCTCATCAGGCCACGCTGAGGCGGCGTCCCACACAGCAGAGCCAGAGGGGCCTACAACTAGGAGATACAACTATGTGCTGGGGGCTTTGGGGGTGGGGAGGAAGAAGGGAAAAAAAGAGCAAAGACAAAATCCTAATTTCTGTTGGAGATGACACGTTTACAACAGTAAAGGTACTAGCCAGAGGGCTGCATCCCAAAGCCGGGGTTTGGGGAGAAATAGCGCCCAGGGTTGATTCCATGTAAAGTCGTTTGCTTCAGCCGCCTTGATGGGGCCGGCCATGATGGGGCCCTCTGCTTCCATTAGGACAGGACAGGTGGAGGCTCATTTTTCCTCTCAGAGCTCATTTCTCCTGGGGCCATCACTCTCTGGCTGAGCAGCGAACAGCAGGGAGGGAGCTCCTAGTCAGTAATGTCAGGGACCAGCAGGGCAGGGCGCTTAGAGCCGCACCCTCCCTGCAGCGCTCCTCCCTCTGTCCAGCGCTCAAGGGGGCAGCAAATGCTTGTTGGACAGACGGACAGTGGGTGAATGTGCTGAGCTGACACGACTTTCTCCCAGCAGCTGTGAGGCCCACCACCTGCAGGGCCAGCGGGAGAGCCCGCCACTGAGGTAAGGACTTGCATTTTCTTCTTTTCACCCACACAAGTTGGCGTTTCTGAGCCTGGCCTGGTGGTGGGAGCTTTTGCTTGGTCTTCAGGCTGGGGATGGCCCCACCAGGCTTTGTCCAGGGGCCTGCCCTCCTCCCCTCCGTCAGGGAAGCTCGCCTGTGCCTGGTTGGGGCAGTGAGCAGCTGCGGGATGCAAGGCTAGCACCGCTCGTCAGGCCATGCTGAGGTGGCGTCCCGCATCGCAGAACTAGAAGGACTTGCAACTAGAATATTCACTGTCTACTGGGGGGCTTTGGAGAGGAGGAGAGGGAGGGGAAGGAGGCAGGGGAGGAGGAGGAGGAGGAGAAAAACGATTGGCAACAGATGTTAACTCAGGTGCCAACCTTAAAAAGAAAAAGAAAAGGTACTACCTTTTCATGAAGTGACTCAGATATGGGCAGGATAACTGTGGCATGTGCTGCTGGAGACAAAGGGGTCCCGGCAGGGGCTGGGCTCCCGGGGGTGAGAGGCCCAGGGAGGCATTGCCAGAGTTTCCCTTGGGATTCCAGGGCCAACCTGGGTGGCCAGGGCTCCTGCTTTCTGGTCTTGGCTCCTCCCCCACCCCAGAGAGGGGCTCTCCCCAGGCCAGTTTGTCAGCCTCTGGTGTGGCATGCCCCTTGGGCAGAGCTGTGCACCACAAGCTCCCAGACACGGTCAGTGTGTGCACGGTGTCTTTGCCCTGCTTCACACCCCTGGCCCCTGGGGAAGCCTGGCCGGTCCAGCACAGCAGGCTCCTCCCAGTACCACGCCCAGCTCTGAGCCCTCTGCTTTCCTCCCTCAGCAAAGGGGACTGCTGCCCAGACACCTGCCGAGTGCCAAGAGTGCCCAGGTATGGAGACCACATCTTTGGGCTGCTTCTGTGCTTATTGCCAAGCAAGTCAACACCGGTTCCCCCTCCATTCCCTGCCTCACCCCCTCTTCCAGGGCCTGAGGGAAGAGGCGATGGGGCGGAGAGAGGAGGGCAATGAGGAGGCATTAGAGGGTGGAAGCCACCCATGAGTTCCAGTTGACCTGGGGCCTCGTGGCTGCCCCCGCTCACATGTCTTACCTGAGGCCGACTCAGCCCCACTTCCCAGCCCTCAGCTCAGTTGAAATCTGGACTGAGGCTGGGGAGGGCGTGGAGCACACAGGAGGCTGCACGGTGGGAGGGGGGTAGGCGGCGAGGTGGATCCGGCCCAACTTAGGGGGTGGACGGGGCGGGTGTGCGCCAGCCCTTGTGCTTCCCACCCCCTGAATAAAAGCAGGACATGGGGACCTTAGTCATCATGGGTTAGACCACGGGAAAGACTTACAAGGCACAAGGAGCGAAGAAAGAGCCGTGCATGGGTCTGTAACCTCAGCAGTTATCACAAAACAGTTAGAGAAGACCCCCGTTTCCTTTCTGCATATTTCAGCCCAACAGTTTATCCCTGGGAAAGCACATGGCATCCTTGGGGGTGGGTGGGTGTGCTGGCTGGGGGTTGGTCTGGTGAGTGAACCAAGGGCTTCCTGAAGGAAGGAGGGAGGGCTCCTGGCCAAGCTGGCACCCGGGGCAGGGGGACGGCAGCTTGTAGCCAAGGGGCGTGGACTAACCCGTCCCTGGTTCTCTGCACGGGAGCCTCATTTCTCACTGTGCTCGTCTTCCACAGGATGCTCTACCCCAAGGCCCATGTCCTCCAGCCCCCGTAAGTAGGGGACTTCCTGCCATGGCCAGTGGGTCCCTGTCACCGAGGACCTCGTGCTTTCCTTTCTCTCGCTCCTGCTGGCTCCAGTCTTCCTTTCCCTTTTTCCTCTTCTCCCTTTCATGGCTGTAGGAGGCCGGTTGGTTTTGAATGGGTTTGGCACAAGTTGAGGGAGCAAGGGAGGGGCCTCCAGTTCTTGGGGTCGGGAGCCGTGTGGGTGTGCACACCAGGCCCTGACCCTCTTCTCGTGTCTTCACGGGGAAGGAGGACGGGGATCCGGGCCGAGTCATCCCTGAGGTCTTTCCACAGGTGTCAATGTCAGAGAGACAACGGTTCCAAGCCAGTCTCCACATGCAAATGCCTGTCCCCAAATCCAGGCCTCCTTAGCCCGAGCCCACCCTCCAGCTGCCACTGCCTGAACGAGGGGCACCAGACCCGAGAGTTTCGGCACAGCAAGGTGGCCCAGAGACCACTTTGACCAGCCCTGGCTTGACCAGCAGGGAAACTGAGGCTGAGAGAAGTGAAGGAGATTGCCTGAGGCCCTGCCACCAATGAGGGGCAGGTCGGGATGCGAGCCCAGGCCTGCGGACTCGACAGCCCCACGGCTTCTGTCATGTCATGTCACCTCCCTGCCAGGAGAGCTGGAAATGCCATTTCTGAGCCCAACACCCACATCTGCTTGAGTTTCTAGAGCCACCAGCCACGTGGGGTGATGAACGCTTGACATGTGGCCGATCTGGAATGAGATGTGCTGTCAGTGTGAAATACACACTGGATTTCAAGCACTTAGTACGCAAAATGAAATATATCTCGAAAAAAGTAAGATATCTCATTTTTAATTGAGATTACATATTGAACTGATAATATTTTGGATATAGTGAGTTAAACAAAATATACCAAAGTAACTGTCATTTCACCTGGTTCCTTCTGCTTTTCTGTGGCCACTAGAAAATTTTAGATTACATATGTTTCTGTTGGACAGCACTGATGTGGCGGGACAAGTTGGCACGAGTTTTTTGGTGGATCCTGGTGGCATGATGCCACGAGGACCCATGAATGCATGAGCACCGTGAAATCAGAATGGCAGGAGTGAGAGGACCCTGTGCGGGCTAGAGGGAGAGTCAGGGGGGTGTAGAGGGACAGAGACACAGCCCAGAGAAGATCGAGGGGCTGCAGGGGGCAGGGCCCTGAGATGGGAGGGGGCTTCAAACCCAGCTTTGTCTCATTTCCTCTGCTCACAGCAAACATGTGGGTTTCCCCACCGAGCAGTGCTGACACCGCCCGCAGTTAGCACAGACCCTGGGGCGAGGGCCTCCCTCCCACAGACAGCCCCCACCTCAGACGCCAGTCACAAGGCCGGGTTGTCCCCTGTGCTTCTGACCGACTGGCTGTAAACTAGGGCTTCCCGCTGACCCCTCCTTGGGTTCAAGAATTTGTTAGAACAGTCCATGGAACTCAAGAAAACAGTTGACTTACCAGACGCTCAGTTTATGATGAAGGACACAGCTCGGGAACAGTCAGAGGAAGAGCTAAATAGGGCCAGGTGTGGGCAGGGGCCAGAGCCACCACGCCCTCTCCAGGTGCGCCACCACCAGCACCTGCACGTGTTCAACCCGGAAGCTCCCGAACCCCATCGCTCTCCCCTCCTGGAGGACGGGCGTGGGGCGCAAGCTCCAGGCTTCCAGTCACAGCTTGGTCTTTCTGCTCACCAGCCCCCTCCTGAGCTACCTGGAGCCACCCAGAGTCTCCTCGTTAGAACAAAAGGTGCTCCCATCACCCAGGAAATCCCAAGGGCTTGAGGAGCACTGTGTCAGGAACCGGGGGCAGAGACCAGATACATATTTCTTCTGATGGCCAAGTCTCCTCATGCTGGGAGAGGGCTTAGTTCTTGCCCTCCCTGAGACTCTGCTCCTCCCTGGAAACGGGCTTGGGAGCCCTCATAGAAGGACTGCCCCGTGGGATCCAGCGCACACCTGGTGCTCTGGAGATGCGCCGAATTAGGGCAGTGAAGGAATTGGGGTTCGGGTCTCGGGTGCTGAGCTTATGGTGCAAAGAGCACTGGATTGGGAGTCTGGAGTCCTGTGTTCTTCGAGCTCTGCTGCTCACAGACTGTGCAACTTTGGACGAGTCCTTCCCTCGGTGGCCTGCATCCCCGCGCCCTGCTCTCACCCACTGTGCTTCCTCTCCTCCAGGAGGGTGGACGTGCTCCTCATGACTCCCTGGTTTGCTCCCATCATCTGGGACGGGACCTATGACTCTGCCATCCTGGACGCGCAATTCAGAAACACCACCATCGGGCTGACCGTGTTTGCCATTAAAAAGTAAGTAAGGTCCGGGCAGCTGGGCTGGGCAAGGGTGCTTGCCCAGGAAAACCAGGGAGCCGACCCGTGGTGTAGGGGGCGCTCCTCACCCGGGGTCTCTCATTTCCAGGATGAAGAGTTTGGCTCATGGGGTCGGGGGGGATGCAGAGGCCTGAGTGACTTTGTGTGTAGGAGAACTTGGTGGGCTCTGAGGAGGCCGCTAGGCAGAACCCTGCTCAAAATAGCAGCCCCACCGCTCAGAGTCATCTGCTCCAGAGGTCGCCGTATCAACCTCTTGGAGATGGGCTGCTGACATGGACCACTCACGCGTGCCAGCCGCTCTGCTAGGAGCTTAACCCCAGCAGGGCCCAAGTGTGCGTGCCCTGGTACCCCAATCTGTTACCCAGGGAGGCCAGCTGAGGCTTAGCTTCTTAGTTAGCCGAAGAAAGTATACTATGTGGCAAAGTCGGCTCTGAGTTTCCAAGTTGCATTTCCGGCTTTGGGGTCTTGCTTGATTGTTTCGAAAACTGGTTCGTATTTTACCATCCGTTTCCCACTGTCTTGGACACCTTTGCCCTTGGCGCGTGCGGGCCTTCCTCATTCTTTTGAAGGGCTGCCCGCTGTTTTACTCCATAGATGCTTCATTCCGCGCTGGAGCTAAGCGTTCTTTCAAAGTTGCCTCAGGTGGCGCCATGACAATAATGTTTGATCAGGGAACTTCTCAAACGAGCAGCAAAGTTGCAAGAATTTTACAGTGAATGCGTGCCTGCCCACCACTGAGAGTCCACCATTAACATTGTTATTTTTTTTTCTCATTTTCTCCTCAGTTTTATTGAGATATAATTGACATGAAACATTGTATAAGTTTAAAGGGTATAACATAATGGTTTGACATATGTATATATTATGCAACGATTAGCCCAACACGTTTAGTTAATATCTATCATGTCCCATAGTTACAGATTTTTTTTCTTGTGATGAGAACTTTTAAGATCTACTCTTAGCAACTTTCAAATATACAATACAGTACTGTTAACTAGAGTCGCTGTCAATGAGCAAAGATAAAATTTGGAAAGAGAGGCTTTATCAAAGGTTTGCAAACCAGGCTCATAAGTTGATTGGTGAGCTCCTCTCGGGTCTTGGTGTGGCTGGGCTTATAAAGGCAAAACCCACCGGGTTTCCAAGCCTGCTGAGTCCAGTTTCTGATTGGTTGAACTTTTCTCCAGTTATAGTGTATCTTGGGCCCAGGGCTTTCCAAATGCCATAACCGCAGGGAAAATTTCACTGTTCTCTGGCAGTCTGGCACAGTCAAGGGTGAAATGTAATTTTCTATTCCTGGCCATAGTTCAGCCTTGAGCTGGTCATGGTGACCATCATGTCGCCTCTGGCCTTGTTCTTATCTCTTTCTTTGATCATCACCATGCTGCACATTTCATCCCCAGGGCTTATTTGTCTTGTCACTGGAAGTTTGTACCTTTTGTCCACCTTCACCCACTTCCCCCTCCCACCCTCCACCTTGGGTAACCCCCGTTCTACTCTGTTCCCCTGAATCTGACGTTTTTAGAGTCCACATGTAAGTGAGATCAGACAGTATTTGTCTTTCTGTCTGACCTATTTCACCTTGCATAATGTCCTCCCGGTCATCCATGTTGCTGCAAATGGCAGAGTTTCCTTCTTTTTTGTGGCTGAATAATATCATGCACTATATAAATATATGTCACATTTTCTTTATTCACTCATCTGGCAGTGGACATTTAGGTTGTTTCCATGTCTTGGCTATTGTGAGTAATGCTGCAGTGAACATGGGAGTGCGGCTGTCTCTTCAAGAGAGTGATTTCCTGTCCTTTGGATATATGCCCAGAAGTGGGATTGCTGTATCGTATGGTAATACTGTTGTCAATATTTTGAGGAGCCTCCATACTGTTTTCCGTAGTGGCTGCACCAGTTTACATTCCCACTAACGGTGCCTAGGAGTTCCTTTTCTCCACGTCCTCGCCAGGACTTTCCATCTCTTAACTTTTGGGTAATAGCCATTCTAACAGGTGTGAGGACACATCTCCTTGTGGTCTCGATTTGCTTTTCTCTGATGATTAGTGATGCTGAGCACCTTTTCATGTTCCCGTTGGCGGTTTGAATATCCTCTTTGGAAAAATGCCTATTCAGGTCCTTTCCCCGTTTTGAAACTGAATTATTTGGGCTTTTTCACTGCTGAGTTGCATAAGTTCTTTATATATTTTAGATATTAACCTCTTATCAGGCAAGCAGTTTGCAAATATTTTCTCCCATTCTGCCTTTTCATTTTGTTGATGGTTTCTTTTGTGTGTGTGTGTGTGTGAGGAAAATTGACCCTGAGCTGATGCCTGTGCCAATTTTCCTCCATTTTTTGTATGTGGGTGCCACCACAGCATGGCTTGATGAGTGGTGTGTAGGTCTGCACCCAGGATCCGACCCGTGAACCCTGGGCTGCTGAAGCAGAACACGCAAACTTAACCACTATGCCAGCGGGCTAGCCATGTTGATGGTTTCTTTTGCTGTGTAGAAGCTTTTAGTTTGACATAGTCACACTGATTGATTTTTGCTTTTGTTGCCTGTGCTTGTGGTGTCATTGCCAAGACCCAAGTCAAGAGGTTTTTTCCCTGTGTTTTCTACTAGGAGTTTTATGGTTTCAGGTCTCACATTTGAGTCTTTAATCCATTTTGAGTTAATTTTTGTGAATGGTGTAGGATAGGGGTCTAGTTTCATTCTTTTACATGTGAATATCCAGTTTTCCCAGAACGCTTTATTGAAGAGACTGTCTTTCCTCCATCGAGTCTTCTTGGCTCCCTTATCAAATATTAGTTGATTGTATATGCGTGGGTTTACTTCTGGGCTCTCAATTCCATTGGTCTACATGTCTGTTTTTATGCCAGTACCATACTCTTCTGATTACTGTAGCTTTGTAGTATAGTTTGAAATCAGGAAGTGTGATGCCTCCAGCTTTGTTCTTCTTTCTCAGGATTGCTTTTGCTATTTGGGGTCTTTTGTGTCCAAACAAATTTTAGGGTTGTTTTTTCCTATTTCTGTAAAAAATGCCATTGGAATTTTGATAGGGATTGCATTGAATCCATAGATGGTTTCGGGTAGTATGGACATTTTAACAATATTAATTCTTCCAATCCATGAACACAAGATATCTTTCCATTTATTTGCATCTTTTTCTTTTCCTTCCCAAAGCCCCAGGGCATGGTTGTATATCCTACTTGTAAGTCCCTCTGGTTCTTCTACGAGAGCTGCTGCCACAGCATGGCAACTGACAGATGGTGGCGTGGTTCGCAACTGGGAAATGAACCCTGGCTGCTGAAGCCATGAGAGTGCCGAACTTTAACCACTATGCCATCAGGGCTGGCTCTATTTGTGTCTTCTTTAATTGCTCTTATCAATGTCTTACAGTTTTCAGTGTACAGATTTTCCACCTCCTTGGTTAGATTTACTCCTATGTATTTTATTGTCTTTGATGCTATTGTAAATGGGATTGTCTTCTTAACTTCTTTCTCAGGTAATTCATCATTTTTGTTGTTAGTGCTGTCGAGTCAATTCCTACTCCTAGCAACCCTCTGGACAGCAGAGTGGAACCCTGCCCAGGCTTTTTGCACTATCCTCTAAGCTTCTGGGCTATATCAGATAATGCTCTGCTGCTATTTATAGGATTTTTGCCAGTTTTTGGAAGTAGGTGGCCAGGTCTTTCTTCCTAGTCTGTCTTAGTCTGGAAGCTCCACTGAAACCTGTCCACCATGGGTGGCCCTGCTGGTATTTGAAATACCAGTGGCATAGCTTTCAGCATCACAGCAACAAGCAGCTGCCACAGTATGACAGCCAACAGACAGGTGGTGTGGGTCTCTGACCAGGAAACGGCCCCGGGCTGTGGAGGTGAGAGCATCGAATCTTAACCACTAGCCCACCAGGGCTGGCTGATTCATTGTTAGTGTGCAGAAACACTGCTGATTTTTGTATGTTGATTTTGTATCCTGCAACTTAACTGAATTTGCTGATTAGCTCTGACTGTTTTATGGTGCAGTCTTTAGCATTTTTTCTCTATAAAATCACCTCATCTGCAAACAAAGACAATTTTTTTTATTTCTTCCTTTCCGATTTGGATGCCTTTTCTTTCTTTTGCTTTGTTCTTTTTGCCTGATTGCTCTGGCTAGGACCCATCCAGTACCATGTTAAATAGTTCATTCTTTTTTCTCAGGACTCCTCTGGCTATTCAGGGTCTTTTGTTGTTCCAATAGAAATTTTAGGATTCTTTGTTCTATTTCTGTGAAAGATGTCATTGGAACTTTGATAGGGATTGCAATGAATCTGTAGATTGCTTTAGGAACTATGGACATTTTAGCTATGTTAATTCTTCCAAGCCAAGAGCACGAAATATCTTTCCATTTCTTTGTGTCTTCTTCAATTTCTTTCAACAATATTTTATAGTTTTCAGTGTACAGGTCTTTCACTTCTTTGGTTGAATTTATTCCTAAGCATTTTATTCTTTTTGTTGCAATTGTAAATGGGATTTTATTCTTAATTTCTCTTTCTGCTGCTTCATTCTTGGTATATAGAAACCCAACTGATTTTTGTATGTTGATTTTGTATCCTGCAACTTTACTGTATTCATTTACTATTTCTAAAATATTTTGGTGGATTCTTTAGGGTTTTCTCTATATAAAGTCATGTCATCTGCAAATAGTGACAGTTTCACTTCTTCCTTTCCAATTTGGATCCCTTTTATTTCTTTTTCTTGCCTGATTGCTCTGGCTAGGACTTCCAATACTATGTTAAATAAGAGTGGTGAAAGTGAGCATCCTTGTCTGGTTTCTGTTCTCAGAGGGGTAGATTTCAGTTTTTCTCTATTGAGTATGATGTTGGCCGTGAGTTTGTCATATGTGGTCTTTATCATGTTAAGGGACTTTCCTTCTATACCCATTTTATTCAGAGTTTTTATCATAAATGGATGTTGTATCTTGAAAATGGTGTCTCTGCCTCTATTGAGATGA